AGGGTAATAGACGTCTTAAGCAAAGTGGCTATGACGGCATGGACAATCTAGAAAACAAGGAATGAGGCTATCTTTAATGGACAAGTTCCCAACACAGTTTCGGCTTTGTTTAAAATCCAACAACTATGGGGAAAAGTAGAGTTGGTTGAAAGACCTAGAGCAAACACCAACACAGGTATTGCAGGTAACTCCATGGGTGAATCAGGTTGGCTTCCCCCAGACCCCTTGAAGCAAAAAATAAACTATGATGGTGAGTACTAAGCAAGCTGCTTTGGAGGTAGTTATCAAAGACAATAGAGGGCGGGGCGGCGAATATTAGATGAAAAATTGAAATCATTCTTTGTCGGGTCAGTAGAGCAGTTGAAGCTAAGGCAGTGAGAGAGGCCTGTCTGTTGGTTAAATCCTTGTAGCTAAATAACGCTATAGCGGAAAGTGATAGCCAGGAGGTCATTCGGTTAAAGCTCAAATGAGGGGTTGCCACCATGGGAGCTGAACACTATTTTTGAAGATATTGGAGAATGTGCAAGATTATTTAATTTGTAATTTTTCTTTGTATCCCAAGCTTTTAATCAAACCGCTCATTGGATAGCTAGAGCCAAGTTAACCCATTCTCTTCCAAGGAACTGGGTAGACAGCACACCAACTGAGCTAAGGGACGTTTTAGTTGTTGATTGTAATCAATTTGTGTAGAATTCCAAAAAAAAAGAAAAAAACTTTATCATGCACCATCTAATTCTATCACTACTTCAATGCAAGAAATATTTTTGCCATGTGTCTTTTTGGCCTAAGGTAGTATTTCTCTAAACTCAAGGGTGCAACCCAGCCCACTTTATAAAAATTATGTTTTGCAATTGTACATCTAAAATTGTGATGATTGTTTTTGTAAGTGGTTTATAAAATATGGATAAATGATGTAATTTGTGGTAAATGACGTTTGTTAATCTGCGGGATACATATTATAATTAAATAAAACCTTATAAAAAAATGCTATTTGTTTTGATTAAGGAATAAAATTATAACTTCACTAAAAAGATACAAAATTACAACCAAATATTATCCTTGAAAAACGAAGTATAACAAAATAAATTCAGACATACTGATAGCTGATCCCAAAAATCATATGTCAACCATGTAACTAATTTGTTGCAGACATCATAACCCAATTCGATGAGGATTCAAGGCGACTTACAATGGGGCATGGTCTTGATAAAGTAATGCTTTGATCTTCTAAATCATAGACATAGAGGTTTCTATCATAAGGCTCGGTGAAGTAAATACAGTTTTCTCTAATTCCTCCGGTTGCATAACAAGAACTATGGGTACCAGACCCACTAAGAAAAATTACACGTTCACCTATACTCTTCAACTCCACCCATGCCTTTTCAGCATCTATTCTAAAAATTTTAAAACCTACAATCTCGCGGAGAACTAATGTATAGAAAGTCTTGTGAACAAGTAAGAGCTCACCGAAAGACTCAATCAGATAAATTTGGAAGAAATGAGTTTCTGCTACGTGTGGCTTAAGATCCCCATTTGTCACTTGCCTGAAATGAAGAGTTGGCCCCACAAAATCAATAGTTACTAGACCATAACCATGTGTAGTCAAGCCATAAGTCTTTCCTTTAAAAGTTGCTACCGTAAACAAATTATATGGATCTTCCAGTTGTTGCCTAAAAAACTTATCGTCACTTGGCCGNCGGTAAACAACTTATATGGATCTTCCAGTTGTTGCCTAAAAAACTTACCGTCACTTGGCCGACAAAACAAAGCAACACTTTCTCGGGTTTTAAAAAATAAGACATGACAATTGGGGTTGCTTGGGGGTGCAGATAGAATACATGCCTTATAAACTCCTTTTTCCAACGGTGGGAGCTGAATCTTCTCCATTGAGATAGGATTTAGAAGTAAACAATCGTTTGTATTATGATCCTTCAACACCCACCATCCATAAGGAGACGACCATGCATATTTGTTTCGCATTTCAGGAATAGTTCGAACATAATAATGATTTTCTGGTATGCTAAAAAATGTCTGTCTTTCTTTCTGCTCACCATCAAATATCACAAGCCAAGGACAAGGTTGATGGATAAGAGGAGGACGAGAATGCATAAGTTGTTTCTCCTCGTTTGTCACTTCCATAACGCTTTCTACTTTATATTCAGTGAGATTACCACAATAATAATCTGACTTCTACCTATATGAACAAAATAAATAAACCAATCTAGTTAGTCGCATACATTAAAATATAGAAAAAATAGGATAAAATACTAACATATTTATCAATTATGACACAGATATATTTGAAAAAAAAATACACATTGAATGTATCAAATTTTTAATTAGTGAATTTGGACAGGGTGGGTTTAGTTACTAATGGGGTATATATAAATGAGGTGAACTTAGTAGTTTGAAGTAAGATGATTAAATGATATGAAAAATGAGATTTAATGGCTGGTAATAGCCCCACCCATTTTAAATTTTGAAATGTGAATTTTATACAGATATTTAAATTATGAAATATCTAAAATTAAGGAGATTTGCTTTTGTTTGATTTTAAAATTGTGTATTTTATATGGTTCTTATTAAAATATGAAAGGGAATAATGTTATTTCTCTTTGCACACGTGATTGTCTTTAAAGTCCCAAAAAAAATTCGCGTGAACTTTTTTCACTAAAAGTCCATAATTGTGGAGTAGCTTCCAAAAAGTCCTATCTAAAACTCAAAAAAAAATAATAAAAAAATTTGGCCTAATATACTTAAGAGTTAAAAGTTTTTGGGAGCCCTTTAAAATTGAGGGCTCTAGGCAGCCATCTTAGTGGNTTAAAGTCCATAATTGTGGAGTAGCTTCCAAAAAGTCCTATCAAAAAAAAAAAAAATTGGCCTAATATACTTAAGAGTCAAAAGTTTTTGGGAGCCCTTTAAAATTGAGGGCTCTAGGCAGCCATCTTAGTGGTCAATGCCTAGGGCCGGCCCTGCATACAAGTAGGACATCTACTTCAATCTAAGTTATCCAACTATGGGAGACCGTAAGACAAGACCAACGCTTAGAATGGAACAAAAAGAGAGAAAAAAAATATCAACGATTTTTCGAGAAACTATAGTAAACACGACAAAAGTTGCATCTAAGGCAATGTATTTATCAAATAATATGGTGAGGCATAAGTGAGGTAGGTCACTCTTGCATGGGTGCTGTTCATGCCTAACAATAGTCCTTTGAGGTGACCAAACCATTACAGAAACAACAGTTCCAACAATTTAGATACGATACATGACAATTGTTTTTTCCATTTTAATATTACATAACACCTCAAATACAAGAGAAGTTGGAGATCTTAAGATAGAATGACTTCCAGTGAACAATTGACAAATAAATCTATTATCAACCCTCAACCTTGAAGCAAAAGGAAAGGTTTTATTGGCCTACAAGAAAATCTTGGTGGTTCTTAAATTGAAAGAGCAAAGTTATTCACAAATCGAAAAGACAAAAAAGAAAATAATAATACTATTTGAACCTAATTTACTAACATAATTTATTGACTTAATTCATTACAATTATTGAATTGATGACAAATTCTAGCAAATACTAGGCAGTTGTCAATCTAATTATTATGAATGTTTAGGATAATAAATTAAATTAATAAATTAGATCTCAGAAACATTCTAAAAAAACTAAAGACTTGATAAAACATAGGCATCAGTAGCATAAAACGAGACTTCAAGTTTAAAAACTCGGCAAAAATACCAAGAAAACACCAAAATAGATAAGAAAAACTTAGAAAAGTTTGAAGATCAAACCTTTGAGTAACTTGATTCTCAGTCGTGAAATCAAAAACAGCTTTCAATAACTTTATTTTGGTTTTGATTTCTCTTTATTTCATAGTTTGGTAGATAATTCAGAAGGTATTGTTTCGTAGATATATATATGATGATTGTCCAAGTTGTATTAGGTAAAGATTAGCGCTAATACCTTAGTCTGACGTTTTAATCTTATTCCCTAGTTTAACCAAAACACGTTTTCAATTATGCTTAGTATAATCCTAAAAAGGAAAGGAGTGTCTCACTTAAAACTCAATTATACCCCTCGATATTGTCTCTCTCTCTCACGCNCTAGTTTAACCGAAACACGTTTTCAATTATACTCAGTATAATCCTAAAAAGGAAAGGAGTGTTTCACTTAAAACTCAATTGTACCCCTTGATATTGTCTGTCTCTCTCACGCCTGGACCATAACCAGCAGATTTGGTGATCCGGGGACATCAGAGCTCCGATGATTTGTACAGCGACACACACACCTTGACCCACCCCACCGTTAAATAATACGCCACCACATGCTCTGTTTCAACACCATTGCAGCCGTTCCTTCTCTCTCCTCCTCTCACATCGTTGGTTAACCTCTAGTGTCTATTCCACTTCAACTCTAAATCAACAGTCTTGTAAAATTCTTAGTGTCTATTCCACTTCAACTCTAAATCAACAGTCTTGTAAAATTCTTAGATCTGTGGTAAAAATTATACTGATTAATTAGGATTCAAAGATTCGATTCAGTTTGATTTGATTGAGTGTTGTTCGGTAAAGCCTGTACTCTGTCCGTCTCCCTTCTCCACCGAATAAATGCAAATTCCAAACCAATGTATCCCCTCTCCCCAAGCCCTTACTCCCATCGTGGCTGGTCAAATTCCACCGCCCCCTTCCAACCCCCCGCTGGTCTAGATATAAGCCGACTCCTCAGGTATCAAGCCATTGTTTTTGTCGTCTGGGGCATCCATGTCAGTCGCTTCGTAGTGGCGTTGGCGTTGGTGTTGGCTTCATTCAGTGGAAGTTGAAAGTGCAGTCCTTCTACAGTAACTGATCCATAACGTCTCGGTCATCAGTTACCAATTTCAATAATTGCTGCCCTCACTCCTTCTGCCTCTACATGTTCTGAGTTTTAGTGTATGAATTTAGAATGCCTATATCAGTAATCAACTTGGGTTGTAGCAATTCCTATACACCAATTACAATTTGATTCACTCTCTCCATTGGAAACACAAATTCTGCCTGCCTTTCTATTTTGGACCCAGCCCTGGATTTCTTGATATTTCTATTTCGCGTGTATATGCTGCTTGTTCTTACCTTCTGTGTTGATTTTCTCCGTACATAACAAAGCTTGGAAGTTTGAGCTTCTTGAGGTTTAGCAGATTCTTGGTTCTGGAGATCACTCAGGTTGGTCTTTCTCCTTCTCTAATCTTTTATTGGTGTTTCACCTCCTTGTTCTTCATTCTGTTGTTGAATTGGTTTGTGTTTTAAACTTGTTGCATTGTTCTCGATGTTTTCATTCTTGCAAATTCTATTACAACTTTGAAACAATATGTCTATTAAATTGTTGTTCTCTTTGTTTGTCTTGTTCTCCACAATAAAAAAGACAGTAAGAAAAAGAATAATTGATTCTCCGGAACATTAGATATCCCCATGGCTGACAGGTCACTGTCAGAAACAGTGGAACCTGATTTTGTACCCCTGCATGCTACCCAAAAATGTTACAATTTCAGAAGACATAAAAGTTCAAAGAGGCAATTATCTTAGCGCATCAAACCATACAATCAGCATATAAGATGTGAAAAGTTATGAATCTCTCTAATTTTCTCTTACAATATATTCAAATTAAAAAACCGATAAACCTTCACATCAAAATAACGGCCCAAAAATTGTCTCATTATTTGTGATAGGTCTATCATCAAAAAAGAAAAAAGCCCAAATTCAAGCATTCTTCTTACTACAATTAAGCACACCACTGACACCAACTATCTTACTCATCTGTACATAGCAGGTATAAGATGTATAACACATTTAACACTCCCAGATTAAGCATGATCCATTGCAATACATTCCAAATACCAGAAGTAGATTCTAAAAAATAAGATATTATCCCCAGGCAGCAACAGTTGCAGTCAAAATTACAGATGTCCATAGAAAACCAGAGTAACAACCATTTACTCATAAAATTAGCTAGAGAACAAAAAAAACCTAGACCATTGACATAAAATACAACAGGGTTTTCGTTTTCTTTTTCCCTCGTACCTTTCTTATTATGATGTATGGTTGCTGTGAAAATGTGGAAAGAGATATAAATTGAAAATTTTTAATTGTAGATTTTTACATTGTTTGCGAATTGAGCAAACTCAATTGGCCTCTTGAAGATCGTAATAATATTATTCTGATTCTGTTTTATGGAATTCTTATTTTTTAGAGACCCATGTTTTACTTTCTCATTTTCATTGTTCTTCTTGTTGCGGGACTACTCAAGGAGTTATTGTTGTTTTGGGCTTTTGGTTTTTATCTATGTGGATCAAGGAAGATGCTATATTAGTTGGTTTGTTTGATAATTTTCTTTCTTATAGCTTGTCTTTATGTACACTGTGAATTATGTTTAAAAAAAAGCATATTTTGTGAAAGTAAAAACGACCAACAACATTTCAATACTATCTATAAGCAGTCAAAATGATATTCCAATGAGCTATTGATGCATAAGGAGACCAACAAAAGAAAAGAAGGTACAGTTTTATCAGGAAATGCCTCAAATTCCATAGACTTTTAACGATAGGACAACGAACTTCAAATGGAATCCCGAGCTCCTTCTATTCCACCTCCTGTTTATAACAAGATGATCCCACCAAGAAATAGTATAGTCAGAAAACTCGATCACCAGAGATCCAAATGCTCTGACCAGTGTTTATGGCTTGCTCTGGTTCATTGATTTGAGACAGCAACATAGAGGAGGAGCTGACGGAAGTTTGAAATTGGACTTCAGGATTGTAAGGAACAATGTAATGTGTGGGATACCAAGCATGAGAAAGCAGATTCAGGTCTAAGCCTATGTGCAAAAATATGCCAAAGATTAGAGTTGTTTGTTCTGTCCTTCCATTACCTGTGTAAGTGGGGGCTATATGAGATAATGGTCTTCTCCTATGCATGTATATAGGGTGCATACAGAGAGTGTGTGTGTGTGAGAGAGAGAGAGAGAGAGAATTGATCTTGATTCTCCACAGTTCCATTTGGAAATGCTTAATTTATGGTCGTCATCTTTATATTGAGCTGACTAATTTAGCTGTTCTTTTTAACTTAAAAGTCATTATTGAATTATTCTCTTCTTGAAAATCATTGAATCAAACTCTTAAGTAATAGTTTAAATGGAACACTGTCTAAATCTATGCACTTGTTCTTAGAAATTGTCAGGTGCTATGCTTGATCACTTAACCTGAAATACATGAATTGGGATTGCTGTAATATGCTTAATCTGGTTGATCATTAGTGCTTCAGTTGTTGTGCTGCTTCTCCACTTATTGATTTTGTCTCTGTTTTGCAAATAAAATGCTCTTTAATAACGTTAATGAATCTTATTTGAGGGTAATAATTACCATTGCACATAGTGAATAACTTGTTCCTCAATTTCTTGCTTGACTGAAGATTGTAACCACTTACACTGGAGGACATCGGAGTTGTAGATCCGAGAGTTCTATGTATGAGACAGTGGACCGAGATAGAGGTAGAATTAAGTCCAGGGATGAGTCTAGAAGTCAAAGAAGGGATGACTCTGGAAGTGAAAGGAGGGAGGCAAAATGGAGCCACTACTCGGATAGAGAAGAGCCGAGCCATAGGGGTGTATCACATAGTCATGATAAGGAATACGATGAAAAGTATGGACAAAAACGAAACAGATACGAAGGTTCCAGGACTCCAGGTATGTAGTGCACTTTGTCATTTAAAACTTTCTGATCTTTCCTTGTAAATTATAATCAGAATCTTATTATAGAAATCTCCATGGGACAGTCTCTTCCGTAGCATGGTCCAAAATCAAGAGAAACAGTAGTCGTTGAAGTTTCTGCCCTCCAATTTTATTATTAACTCTTCCAAAGTTTTGAAAACTTTTTTGCTTATGGCTAGACAACCTTCGGTTTCCCAGATTTATTTCTTATTTCTTAGTGAAGCTATGGACTATGTGAAAGGATGTTTTCTCATTTAGTGAAAAAAAAATATTTTATTCGCTTAGTGTTTATAACTAATTTATTAACAGTGATTTTGTAAAGTCTAATAATATTTACATTGCGGATTTTGCAGGCAGATCTGACTGGGATGATGGGAGATGGGAATGGGAAGATACACCTCGTCGGGATAATCGTTCTTATAGCATCAGGCACCATCAACCTTCACCTTCCCCAATGTTAGTTGGGGAGTCACCCGATGGACGACTGGTTTCCTCATGGTTGGGAGGGCATACTCCTCATTCTGCTGGTAAGTCAGTGAAACTGTGTAATCTCTTAGCTGCTTGTTTTTGGATTGAAGATGTCTATCATTTGTTTCCTTATGCTAATGGGGGCTGCATGAAATTAACAAGATACTGGAATATCTACAGAACCTGCTGCATCTCCCTGGGACAGCGTGCCTCCTTCTCCAGTACCCATACCGGCATCGGGATCTTCAGTTAGATCTTCAAGTTCTTGATATGGTGGAAAGTCGCATCCACTTAATTTTTCTGCCGAAAATTCCCAACCGTCTGAGGTATTATATTTCTCATCTTATCCGAGCTTTCCTTTCCTTAAAGATATCCTGAAAAAGGAAGAAACGTACTTGGCCAGATATCATTTTTGTGTTCATCTGCAATGCATTTTATTTATCAGCTACGGGAACGTGTTTGAAAAAAATTGCTCTGTCCTTTTGGTTGTATCCAGGATGGAGAAGATAGCACAAGTTATCTGTCTAAAGGCCACAATCAAGAGATAGCTGAAAGTATGCGTTTGGAGATGGAATACAATTCCGTTCGTGCATGGTTCTAGAACTTATTACAAATGACAGGCTATCCATTCCTAAGAAACTACACTAACATTCTAGCTCAAATCATCGGATGTTTCATGAAGTATCAAGTGGTGGGTAATGGCGTAACGCTATGGTTCTGAACTCCTCTTTCCTGTTTCTTTCCTATGGGCTCCTTGTGCTTTTGATTTTTAACCAATCTGAAGAAGCGGACCAAGATTATCACATGGAAACATAATTAGAATGGAAGCATAAAAGAGTAGTTATGCATCATGTTTTATGCTAAATGGTTTCAGCTCTGGCATTCATGTCAAGTAGATGTTTTGATAAGCTTAGCATGCTATCTATTCAACTGAAAGTTGGAAGCGAAGTTGCGGCCTTTTTAATATTTGACTTTGTTGTTTTCATTTCTGCAGCCTTTCTTATCTTTTTTTCTTTTTAGCTTGAAATAGAATGCACCAAATATTTTTCTCTATCATTTAAAGCTTCTAATGATCTTGTCTTGTATAAACTATTGATGCAGCAGTCACAAAGAGAGAGGAAGAAGCAGAAAGAAGAGCCTGAGAGTTGGGACAACATATATTAAAAGTTATTGTAATCATTCATATGTGTTTTAAAAACCTTGAGTTTGACGATGTGTTGTCTGATAACTCCTCCTGTGTTGTCCATTACGAATCTTTTACTTTCTGTTTATTACATTCACAAAATGGACATAGTCCTTGACTGAAATGAATGCCAAAACTCATGCTCACCTTCACTTGTGTATGTTGGCAATTTGGTTAGGAAAAATTAGTATACAATATTTCATCCTTAAAATGATCCATATGTAACGCATGTGATCAACTAGTTTGCCTAAAAGAAAATCTTGTCGGTTCTTAAATTGAAAGACGAAAGCTATTTACCAATCAAAAAGGAAAAAAATAACAATAATACTATTTGAACATAATTTACTAACATAATTTATCGTCTTAATTCATCATGATTATTAGATTGATATTAAATTCTAACAAATACTAGGCAGTTGTCAATCTCATTATTATGAATGTTTAGGATAATAAATTAAGTCAACAAATTAGGTCCAAGTAACATTTCTCAAAAATTAAAGACTTAGGGTCAGACCATGAGATATTTATCTCTTATGAATACTCTAGTCCTGGCGTGAATATCTTGTTTTTGATCGGATTAGGGAGAGAGTTAATCGAGATGTGCTCAAGCTAGTTTAGACACCGCCAACGGTTAAATCCAAAAAAAAATAAATTAAAACTTGATAAAACAAGGAAATCAGTAGCAAAAAACGAGAATTCAAGTTCAGAAACTCGGCAAAAATGCCTAGAAGATACAAAAATAGAGAATAAAAACTTAGCCAAGTTTGAAAATCAAACCTTTGAACAAGTTGGTTCCGTAGTCGTGGAATCGAAAACAGATTTTGATAACTTTGTTTTTGTTTTGATTTCTCTTTATTTCACAGTTGGGTAGATAAATAAGAAGTTTTTGTTCCATAGATATATATGAGACGATTGTCCAAGTTGAATCTGGTAAGGATTAACCTTAATTCCCTAATTTGACCTTCCAATCCTATTCCACACCACACCCACAAGTATAGTAGGTTGATAATTCCAAAACATGTTTCTAATTATGCTTACGTGTAGAATCCTGAATGGGAAAAGAGTATCTCACTTAAACTCAAAAAGTTTCAACCCAAATGTCATATCATCCCTTGGGAAAGGAGTATTACATTAATTTGTTCAGTGGGGTTCACTCATCCCACATTAATTTGAGGGATGAGATGTATTTGAATTTTAACTTTTTGATTTTATTTGAATTATGTAACATTTTTCAAACAAGAAATATGTAGATTTGTCTATCCAACACTTTTGGCCCTATTAACCTTTGAGGTAGTTTGGTTTATATATACATATATCTTTTTCATTTGCCCCTTGGCAAAGTCATGACTTCTCAAATAAAATGCATATGGATTTTTGGTAAAAATGTATCAGTTAGAAGTATAAATATTTAAATTGCATCATTTTTAATAGTTTAAATTTTTAGAATACATCGTTGTTTAACATAATAGTAAAGCAGAAAATCCTGTGTTCGAATCTTGCTGGCACCCAAATTATTAAAATAAAATTTATTATGATTATGACATATTGAATTTTGTTTGAACGAAATTACGAGTAAGGCTGATAGTTGAATGATCTTGAACGAGTTTGAGCTGAGTCTGAAAAACTTGTTTTCTTAAATGAATCTAAAAAATTGTTTAAATTTGTCTCATTCAAAGAACGAGCCGATCTTGAATGAGCCCAAAATGAGTCAAACCTAGGTAAGCCTGAATATTTATACACAAACGAGTCGAGTTTGTCGGGTTTGAGGCGAATCTACAAAATTATTCAAATTTGATTCATTTAAAACACGAGTCGAATTTGAACGAATCAAAAACAAACTAAACCCGAATCAAACTCAAATTGCTTAGTTTGATTAAGAGCACTAAATGCGAGCTTCTCATGCTCTTCAATCATGTTACTCCATTACACCTCACTTCTAACCATTAAGATGAGTGGATTTGATGAGTGAAAAAATCTAGTTAAAAAAATGAACCACTGGTTTAACTATTACCAATAACTAGTATAAATTATTAAGCACCAAATCACCTTTCTCGCGGTATCCATCATGAAAATGAATTTTTAGAATATTTCTTACGTCTTCTTTGATTTTTTCAAGAAAAAACAAAATGAATAGAAAATCCAAAAAAATAAAATCTTAGATACAAAAAATATATCTATAAATATGTTATAACTGATTTTTTTTTTTGCTATTGTATTTTGTAACTGATTAAATTAGGAAGAAAAAAGACAAATACTCCTTAAAAAAAACAAAATGAAACTAAAAAATAAAAAAAAGACACACCACTTTAAAAAAGTTAAAAAAAAATACATAAAAAATAATTATCATACACTGCATTATGCTCCATGTACCAATTTCTATTTTACCAAACTCTACAAAATACTTATCGGCAACTAAGTATCTGTATATGTCAAAACTTTTCGAACATTGTTCAATATATATGAAGACATATTCCACTAATAGAATTTGAATCCGATTCAATTCTGATTATCTCAAATGTTGATATATCAAAATACGAATATGTGAAGTATAGTTCCATATATTCAACTTAAAATAATTGGTGATAATTCAGGTCAAAATTTCATTCATTTGCAAGCCTACTAGCGTACACTATAAAGTGCACCCAAGTTGAAACATAAAGCTTTTCGCATGGAAGACTCGGGTGGCGAAATGCCAAAAATTTATGAGCTTGGAATTACATTGGTAAAGGTAAACCCATTTGAGATTGTAGCAAATCCTTCAATCACAAAAGAAATTGTTGAATCTGAAAAACCTTCGAAAGGCAGATTGTATTATGTCTGCGAGACTAAAGGTTGTTGCTTTTTGGGCTTAGTGTATTCCGACCACTGCAACATGGATGCCTAGTGTAGTTGCTGCTTTTCCTCCAAATGAGTAGCTGTTTGATAGACAAATTTTTGAAGGTGCTGAGCGTTAAACTGTCTTAAGCACAAGGTTGATGATGCTTGAAGATACAATGAAGATGAAGGTGAAGGCAGGGCTATTTGTCTCTACGTTTTTTATGTTTATCAACCTGTTGGTGTTGGCTATCAAATGAGTTATATTGGCAATGTATGTATGCTATCTATGTAATCAATGAAGTCCAGATTTCATTAACTTGAAAGACAAAATAGCAAGTTATTTGCGGTGCCCTCCTTCCCCTTTTATCTCTCTCATCGTCTTTAGATCCTTCCATATCGCTGCATTTACAAAAACGTCTGCCATCACATAATTACTTGGATTGTTAGGTTCGAGCTCAAGCAACCATTTTGCAATGACCTCTGCAAGAGAAACATTGCAGCAAAGGTGGTACGAAGAGTAATAAACCCCACCAGCTTTTCAATAACTGTAGTGCTTTCCCGATTCTCCCAGCTCTACCTTATATATCCAATGAACAAGCATGGTGATCTCAAGTAGCATTCAACCAGAACGCAACTCCCATTCTACCAAAGAATGCAGTAGAACACACGTTTTGCAATCAATTTCATCCTCTGGCCACCCAGCTAAACCCCATACCCACTTTTTGCATCCTCGTAAAAGTTTTAAAAGCCTCAAAGACTATCTTTTCGAACAAACCCGGCAATCAATGAGTTCCAATAAACAAACATCTCTTTGTGGCATATTTTCAAACATCATAAATACATCTCCCCAATACCCAAACAAACGGATTGCCTTGAGTGCCAAAGAGCCTCATCGGCTTAGTCACAAATGGAGTAGAATGTATCCTCGGATTCTATCAGTCATGAGCTTGGATCCCAATATTTGGTCGTTGACAACAACGCACTTGCACCAAATTTCAGACCCAAGTGCCAATGAAATAAATAATGGACTTATAAATGTCAAACCCCACTATTAATCCAATATTAAAAAAAAATAAAAAAATACATCCTCTAAATTCGAATAGCATTGCTTAGGAGGTTGTGGTGAGCTTTATCTCTTGATTGGTGGAGTTGGAGGGAGAGTCTTTGGCCGTATTCTAAGGATTTGGAATGGAAGGGTTTTGAGGAGCTAACAACAGAAACCGAGTAAAGACTCTGACCTTATCCTATCAAGAATCACTTGCAATGTGTCAAATGTACCAACAAGAAACTAATAACTATTATCAACCACCAACGTTGATTTATCATTTCATGTTATTCACGGGCTTCATTTCCTTCTCTATGCATTTCTTTAACAAGAAACCTTATCTTAGAAAGGCTTCTTCCCGGATCCATAGTGATCAATGCTTAACAACGAGTCAATATAACTGCAGGTACTAAGTACACCAAAATCATATGGGTTCTTTCCCCAGTGATACTAGGTAGAGAGAGAGAGAGAAACGGGTAATTACACTCGTTGAATTGTTGTTAATGCCCAC